TTATAACAAGGGGCGGCCCCCCCAAACCCCCTGATTCGGCCCTTTTTTTTGGGTGGAACAGGGGGGTGGTGCCCCCAACTTCCCCCTATTGGCCCTTTCTCTGGAAGGGACAAGGGGGGAACCTCTTCAACCCCCTTGATCGGCCCCTGCTCTGTGTGGTGACAAGGGGGCAACCCCCCCCAACCCCCTTTGATCAGCCCTGCTCTGTGCATGACAGGGGGGGGGGCGCTGCACCCTCCCTATCGACCCTGCCTTGAGTGTGACAGGGGGTGGTGCCCCCAACCCCCCATTCGGCCCTACCCTGAGAATGACTAGGGGTGGCATCGCAACCTCCCGATCCGCCCTGCTCTGTGCATGACAGGGGGCGGCGTCCCAATTCCCCAATCGGCCCTGCTCTGAGCCCGACCAGGGGCTGCACCTAGGGATTGGGCCTGCCCTCTGCCACCCGGGAGCAGGCCTAAGCCAGCAGGTCATTATCTCCCGAGGGGTCCCAGACTGCGAGAGGGCACAGGCCGGGCTGAGGGACCCCCTCTCCCCCCCCCCCCCCGAGTGCACAAATTTTTGTGCACTGGGCCTCTAGTTGTTTATATAAACACTTTAGGCACAGTGAGCCACTATTGTTAGGGAATGGTGAGAAGCCTCTTGAGATTCAAGTTCCAAGATGCCAGTGAAGGCCAACATTTCAAACAGGTCTTTCCAAGTATAGCAGCCTCAGGCCTGATATGTTAACTCTTTTAATTCTTTTCTGCATGGTATTTAAACTGTTTCAGCCATTCCAGAAAGCACATGGGAAGTATTTATCAAAGTTAAGCATATCTATGACCTAGTGCTTCCATTTCTGAATAGGTATCCCAGAGAAGTTCTCACAGAGATCCATGAGGAAGCATTTACAAGGCTGTTCATTGCATGGCAGTGTTATGTGTGGTGGAGTGTAATTAGAAGCAATTTAGGTATTTATCACCAAGGGATAGATAAGAAACAGCAGATGCTTACTGTGGGATATTATGGAGCAAGACTCAACAGAGTAGATGTATGAACTTTATAGCAATGCTTATAGATATTATAAACATAATGTTGAGAGGTTAAGTAGAATATCGAATGTTGATATTCAATTGAAGCCTGCCTTATGCATTGTAGGGTGTTTCACAGCATTTCTGGTCCCTACCCAGTGGATGCTAGTAGCAACTCCCACTACCCCAGTTGTGACAACCAAAAATGTCTCCAGACATTGTCAAACATCTGGAGGTCAAAAAGAACCACCAATCCATTGAAATGGTCATATGCTCTTACCCTTTAGTCTGTTAATATGTGAATTTGTATTGAGTAATTTTCATATTAATTGGTAGTTGCATTGCTGGGATAAACCCTACTTAATCATGATGTATTGCATTTTTAAAAAATTTAATTTTCTGCATCACCTTTTATTCCCTCTATACTCTCTACCACCTCCACCCATCCCCTTCCACCCCTGCCATCACCACACTGTTGTCCAAGTCCATGAGTTCTCCCTCCCACCCATTTTGCTCAATTGCTCCACCTCCGCAACTCACCCTCCACCCCCAGCTGTCTACCTGCTCTCTATCTATGAGTCTGTCTCTATTTTGCTTGGTAGTCAGTTTGTTCATTAAATTCTACATATGCGGCTCTTTGGCCCCGTGGCATGGGCCACGAAGTTTCAATAGCACTGTACGTGCACGCCCACACGTGGTATTTTGTGGAAGAGCCACACTCAAGGGGCCAGTTTGTCGACCTCTGGTCTAGATATACTACCCATTCATCAGTTTATTCCAGGACATCTGAGTTATTTACTAGATTGTTCATATCTGTAGGATTCCTAGGTTGCATGGTAAGTGTTTGTTTAACTTTATAAGAAATAGACAAACTATTTTCCAAAGTTGCTATGCCATTTTGCATTCTGAATTCAAATATAGAGGGTGTCCCCAAAAATGTATACTCAGTTTAACAGCTCAAATTTAAAAATGAAATGTATAATTAATAAACACTGCCTTTATAGTTATTCAAACTGTACATGTACATTTTGGGAGATACCCTATATAAGAGTTCCAGTTGTTCCACATGATTGCCAGCATGTGGTATTCCTAGTATTTTTTTTATTGCAGCCATTCTGTTAGATGTTTAGTGGTATTTCATTATGGTTTTTATTTACATTTCCCTAATGGGTAATGATGTTGAGCATTTTTTATGCACTTATTTTCTATGTGTATAAAATCTTTGATGAAGTGTTTGTTCATGTCTTTTGCCTTTATTTAAGAAGATTTTTGGGGTTTTTTTTTCTGTTTAGTTTCAGGAGTTTTTTATTTATTCTGTTTATAAGTCCTTGGTCAGATATGTGATTTGCACATATTTCTTACAGTCTATAT